ACTAGAATCAGCTCGTCGAGCTCTACAAACTGGGATCTCTCCCATTCGAAACGATGATTCACACTTGGGGACCTTCCCTCGTAAGTGAAAACTTGAAAAAGACTGAATATCGATACTTTGTTGATCTATTTTTTAATAGTTGTCTGTTGAGCGCTGACCATTCATTCAATCTTTCTTAACCCTATCATTGTTGCTCGTTGAAGCTTTGAGGACTTTAGAATCTAATTCGACTCTTAGTCTTTAATCTGACATAAAAACTAATCAAACAAATTAGATAGAAATAGATTTGATCTCGGAAAAATGGCAGAATTGATCCCGTTTACAAAAATTGGCATAGAAAATACAGAAGTGATCTCGTTTAATTTGTTTTACAATGTTGATTCCAGAAAAAACTTATTTTTTCCTTTTTTCTGCAGAACTGAACTCGGTTGTTTGCTTATGTTGCCATCTGACCTATGTAGGTTCCAGAGGCCGAAACGTGCCGAATATTCGTCGAGTCAAGTTGAACCATTTTTTTGGAAAATGTAGTCGAGTCGGGTCGAGATGAATTCAAAATGAATTGAGTCGAGCCGAGCCCGGAAGGAAAACTTAATTCAGCAAAATGTACCATCTCTTTCTTGTTGACAAAAATATAAAGAGCGACAAAGCTAGCTGTTAATGACCTCGACAAACATTTGTTATTGCCTACTCATTCTATCTCTCACATTAGAAGCATTTTTCCATTACTGATCGAAGATGGAACGAGTTGCTTATATTCTAGAAAAAATGGCTTCAGATAATTTGTCAACGATGAATTGTATGATGTAATAACCTAATCAATATAGAAAAGATTTTTCCCTATTTAATAAAAATGTTTTAAAATAATGATTTTAAAAGAGTTTAAGTTAAAAGAGTTGAATTGGTAATCTTTTTTATCAATAATGTAGAGAAAATACATAGTAATAATAATGCCTATAGCATTAAATGATAATCGTCTTAATGAACATGTTAAGGATATCATTTTCATTTTTTTCAGATTTCGAGGCAAGACTTCATGTAACACTATCATTTTTTTTAAGCATAACTAGATCTCCTTGAGTTGCGATATATAGTTCTATCACAAGTGTCCTTTGATAAAGTATAGTTTGGGTTTTACAGAAAGCGCAACAGTGAAAAATAATGCCTAGATTTTCCGGGTAGTGAAAAATGCGAAGAACGACGTATAAGAAACCAATTTTCTTTAGTAAAACTCCTGTTTATTGAAAAGTAGTGTAAAAGTTATTTCTTCGAAATCGTTAAAGAGATATGAAAAACAAAAGATTGCTTCTTTTCATATGAAAAATTGATTTTTGAAAAATTCAAAACATTATTGAACTACTAGGAAGTATGTAATTCGTTTATTTTTCACCATGAAATGAAATCTTTATCACTATGAATAATCGACTACACTAAATCCTATGGAGTATGTAGAAAGAGATGTACAACGTATATATATCATATGCGATGTTGTTTTCTGCAAAGTGTTCTCCTTTTTCTCAGCTTACGATTATGAAAAATTGAGATAAATTAAGTATAGATTATTTTCTATTTTAAAACCATAACATCTTGTTTACTTTGAAAGAAATAGGAATGATGATGCAAGATTATGTGAAAGGTTATATAGTACTTTTAAACTTCTATTTCTAGTTTAAAATCACCGTTAGAGTGCAGTATTATTATTAATAGTGTAGATGTGGATGGATGCTTCACTTTTAATTAGTCTACATGTCTTTTTTATTTTGCCAGTATCTAGCTGTAATGACGATAATTTCTTTCTTTTCGGTTTTATGATATATAATTTGCTTGATTATCTGTTGCACTTTCAATCAGAGTGCTTGTGCCCAGGTCGAATTCGCTCGATCGGATCCTGTCGAATCCTTTTAATTCCGGTGATTTTCGGAGATCGAGCGTTCGATCGGAAGCTTCTCAATTGCTTCGCGTGCCGATATTTGGTTCCTGGAGGATCCGGAGATCGGATCCGTTAATTTCCGGTGGCCGGAAATTGACAGATCCTGTGATGTGCACTTTATTTTTCTTTCTTTTTTTCCTGTGTGCTTAGTATGTTCACCGTTTTATTTCACGACAGGAGCACTTTAAATACGACATTACAGAAAATGAAAAATGAGAAGTTGTTCTTTTCAAATTCTTAACGGTGTGAGTCATCATTCACACTGTTTAACGGACGTGTTTTGCACGTCCTAGCTAGTGGGCCATAACACTCTCTTGAATGAACAGAGAGAAGAATCAGTAGAAAATGAAAGAAAAAGTTTAGGGCTATTTTTAGGCTTAAAACACGTGAAAACTGATCACATTCTGCCAAATTGAGCAAAATCCGATATCTGAAACTCGAAGGATCCGGTAGGATCTTTTCAGGCATCTTCCGGCACAGATCCCGAGCAACGGATTTCCGGCATAATCCGGCACAGTTACTCTAGATTTTATGGAATTTCGACAACTTCCGGCATGTTCTAATGTTGGATCCGGACGTCGGAATCAACGACCTCGGTAGTAGAGAAAGACGGTACGTGTCTATGACGAGAAGATTGCGTATGTGTCACGTTTGTTCGCCCTATGCTAGGTAATTTATGATGGACTTAAGTTCACCTTGGTTTTGTCAGCCATAAGTATGTACTGTGGTTAAGTTCTCCATCCCATTCACATGCGGAAATCTGAATTTTTTCTCGTACATTATATTTTCATGAATAATTATCAGCGCCTTTGAGACGAGAAAATAAACGTTATTAGAAAAAAATCTATCTCGTAGTTTTGTAGTGCAATAAATATCCGTCGACATTTTTTCGATTCAAAACTTATCTTGTTATACGTAGTTCGATACGACTTACGAGATGATTCTGAATAGGTTATGCTTTTATGAAAAAGCAATTGTAAGGCGAAAAAAGTCAAAACTACTTAAAATCGTCAGTTTTTCAAAAGCCTACATCATGGAGTAGACAAAAAAATTAGTTCAAATTCATTTTCCGACATACGTAAACATTAGTGTAACTACTAAAAACATTTCTTCTCCAAGGTTCATCAAATTCAATAATTCTTTCATCAAAATAATTCGACAGGACCGTTTATTCATAATCTAGAGTATTTTTCGTCCAACATTTGGTTAATTCTTCGAAGAAATTACTTTTACCGGCTGCTACCGATTTTGAGTAACTGACGGATGGTAGAAAAAGACAGGCAAAGTTTCAGTGTTTATACCACCTAGTCAAGGTGGAGAAAACCTCTCTTTGGATTTTTCGCTAAGTATTCGTCTGAATGCGCCCTGTGATCCCATTTTATGTCATAAACTTATCTCAATAACTCGAAGTCTGCTCTCAACCAAATTTTCCGTGAATATTGATCATATTAAAATATAATGATAAAATTGTTTTTAAACTTCAATCTAATTTTGTTTTCGAGATGCCGTCACCGCAGGGAATACAATCAGCTTGTTTGTAGTTGCACAGGTTTTGACTAGTTTTATTCTGTTGTAATAACTCATATTTACAACACAAGTACACAGTTTTTGAATTTTTCCATTGCTAATTTTTAGTAAGACTGTATGATGATATGAAAAAACTACCTTTCCATTTTTCTCAGAAATCTTTCAGTTTGTAAAAAAAAAGTTGACTCTTATATGTTAATATTTTTTGTTGAGCTTCAATTGAACAAAAATACTACTTTTTAATGCATCGTTGCAAAAATTTATTTCAAGTACAAAAAGTCATCAATAAAAAAAATGATTTGAAGAAAAATACATAACAAGTTTACATTATAAAACATCCATATTAGGCAGTAAGAAAAAAAAGTAAATTCTTTATCCTCTTACAACTTTCATATAGTTTTCCTATCATGAGAATTCTGATGGGCATGTGCTGCAGATCTCTGTCAGATTCCCCATGGTCAACAGCCTAAATCAGCTTCTCGTAAAACTTATAAGTTATTTTTAACTGAACATTTCCAGAAAATTCTATTAAAATCTTCAAAAACTATCTCCCAAGGTATGTATAAAAAGTGCAAAATTTCAAGGTTTTCTCAACAGGGAATTGCATGACAAAGAGTGATTTTGTAAAAGATGTTATCATGTTCTAACTACGTTTACTAATGCGTAACAAGTTTGATTTTTCTTTCATTAAAACTTTATACAAGAAAAATTTTCCACATTTTTGGAATAGTAAACTCTGCTGATACTAAAACTGCAAACTGTCCGTGTTCGAAAAAATCTATTATCTCACGCAGAAAAGAGAATGAAGGGGGAAAAGGCGGCTCCGGGGGGTTCCCGAAGCCCTTAAAATGCTTTCTGCTTGAGATGCGAAGCATCCGATGCTCTCCGATGCTAAGAAAGAAAAAAGTCGCCTTTTCCCCCTTAGAATTGTCACTTGGAGTATTGTGGGGTTGTGACCGATGCTCTTAAGCTGTTACTATCTTGTTTTTTAGATATGAACAAGACGTTAATAATTTTTATTGTTACATATTTACAAGTAGTACTTTTAAGTGCTACTTCATTATCAGCAGTTACTACTAAATACAAATCAAAATATGACAATCCAATACATTTACCAAATTTTATCGGCGAAGATGATACCAGTAACAGTAATGGTGAAAATAACGATGTACAAGAACGAGACAAAAATGTTCTTAGCCATGCAATGATTCCACCACATCCAAATTTATTCTTACTACAAAAAGACAATATTAAAAATAAACAACATCAACAGTTTTATCGTCAATCATTGAAACGATATGTCCCCCATGCATTTCATGCCATGCGTGGAAAACGAACAATTTCTTCGTATTTGAAGAGTTAAAATAGATCGTTCTTGTAGGCATGTTTAGTTAACAGAAGTGCGTTATGTATAGAAAGTTTTCAATAAACTAACAACGAGTAGTCAAGGAATTCAGAAAGGAAGAAATTAAGAAATTTAAATGAAATTTTAAAGTTAAAGTTAACTTTGTTTTTGTTGCAACTTTATACTTTGACTATATATTCGTAGCTATTTATTTAATGTCAAAAACTCGGACCTACGCTCAGCATTGGAATACAGAAAGCCAGCCGTTTTGACAAACTGTACGATCTGAACATTTCTTTTTAACCAGCCGAGCGATTAATAGTTTCATGACTTTAGAAAGCTTTTTTAAGCACTCGTGGACCTTGATACCTGACACTTGATTTCTACCATATTAAACTCATACAATACTCACTTTTATAATTCAAATTCAGTTTTGCTAAACTACAATTTATTCAGACTAGTGAATAGAACGTCTGCCGTCTGATTAATATTAGTAAAATGTCTTTTTTGTCAAAAGTTTTCACCTCTCTTAATGCTTTAAACACACCTTTAGTCATTTTTCTGCCATAATAAAAATTACATATTTTTCAAAAACATACCATTGGATAGCCCTTGAAATTCTCTACAAAGTGAGCTGGTCACAATATCCAGACAGATGGGGCCAGTCATTAACGATATCGAACAGAAGCACTTGGGTGTTATCCATGCAGTGCAGTGTGTCATAATCACGAGAACTCTTTTGTTTTTTAGTTATCGGTAAAAGCTGGAATCAATCAAGAATTATGAGGAAAATAAGATTTTTATAATAAATCTTGAAAATAAGTTTGGTATTTTTCACGCCCTTTGTAGCAATTCGTAAATCAACTACAGTTGCGTGCAAAAGCGTTATAAACAGCCGGGAGACGTCTTATTTTCCTCAGAATTCTTTACTCTATCAGGTTATATGGTTCACAAAGTTTTCTAACCAAAAACCAAGCAGTTGGTTTTCTGACGGTCAGGTTTTCCAGAAACCGTATGATCAGCTTTTCTCATGAAACAGCGATATGTAGCCCATCTGATAGAAAAATCTTCAGGCTATCCATCCACAACAGTATTCAGATTGATTCCATCTTTTACCGATAACTAAAAAACAAAAGAGTTCTCGTGAGTGTGACACACTGCACTGCATGGATAACACCCAAATGCTTCTGTTCGAATAAAATATATAATCATAATATAAAAATTATTAAATTATATAATAAAAATATAAAAATATATAACTTTTATTATGGCAGAAAAATGACTAAAAGTGTGTTTAAAGCATTAAGAGAGGTGAAAATTATGACATCGGTCAAGTTTTCCGACTACTGACCCATGTCTGGCATATTTTCGAAAACCTCGTTTACAGCTTATTTTGAAGCCCAGGAAATTCTCTATGTTACTGTATATGAGCTTTGCTTAAAGACTTTGAAATCGGACGAGAAAACACCTTTTCAACGTCTGAGTAACAATCGAACATGCGACCTGAAAAGTTGTTTTGAAAAATTGAAACCGCTCGCGGGTTTTTTCGAACCTCGTTTTTTTCTAAAATGTAGCCTAGTGTTGTAGCATTTGTTTTGTGAAATTTTGGCGGATGTATTATTTCTCGTTACTGAGATGTGAAGTCATCTTCATTCATAGGTATGCTACCGATAAATACTTCGTGAACTTTTCCCAAATTAATTTCCTGTCTAGATAGCGTTAGGAACCCGCGAATATAAATTGAAAGAGAGTGTGAACGGTGAGCTTTATGAACATAGTATTAGAATTTTTTCCCAATCCATGGTTCATGAACACCAAAAAATCGAATAACCTCCTGGAGAAGCATATAAAGTTTTGAAAAAATCTACAGAAAGATCAACTCAAAAATGAAAAATAACTAGTGAAAAATGCTCGCCAGCTGCAGCTCTACAAAACCCACTAGTCAAAAGTCGAAAATTTCGAACGGCAGACTTATCAGTTTAACGTACGGGGTCCTTTTTTTGTGCAGATGCAAGAAGAAAGCGTACAATAAATCAGTTGAAAACGGTGTTAACTTTTTTCGTCGTAAATATAGATATTCTTGAACATACATTCATCAGATTTCAGGCTAAGAACTTGATTTTAGACGAAGTTGATGCAATACAAATACAATGTCCCTAATTGTATTTACTTCATTAAACACTTGAAGTCTTTTTAAGTATTGAAATGCAGAACGAGTCGCAGAAAAGTCCAACTTTCTGTGCTCTGTAGATCCATTTCGAACTGTAATCCACAAAGCTCGACATTTTTGGGAAGCAGTTTACATTTGAGCACTTATAAAATTAAATCCTGACTGCCATGTACTTGGATGGATGCTTGGAGAAGTACTTGTATACCTGTACATTAGCTAGGGACGTCGCAACATTTTGTATATATCTTGAGTATAGCACACTGTTATCTTGTATCTTGCGCATAACCAACACATCACTAATTGTATATAACAGACAGATTAACTGTAAGGTGCCGCTACTTAAAAATTCGAGCAAAATTTATTTTTTGTTTTATTATACATGGTTGGATAGACTTATATTTATCGCATATAAATTTATGATCCATTCTTGTTTCGTCGACACTTTTTTTATCTTGATTCATGATGAAAACAGCTGATAAAATTCAATAGAAAAGATCAACTGAGCAACTAATAGTGTACGGAAAACAGTTGTAGTTGATAATAAAAAATGTATAAATATACTTACTTGTACAGCAAACTTGAGGATTCACAAAATCATCAACTTATCAAGAATGCTACGCTACCTATTACTTACATTTTACTGTATTATATGTTTTCCATCGTCGACAGCAAACGTAAAAAAGTAGTTTTAATCTTAAACGGTTATCGTTATACACAAGATGGGTTAAGAAATAATAACACATATTGGAAATGTGAAGATCGTGCAATCACAAAAATGTACAAAATAGTATAAATTTAAATGACTTTTGGTGTAAGGTATCAAAAACAATAGGTGTTAAAAGTTTTGATCTTTTTATCAAATGTTTTACAAGACTATATTGTATGCATGATCATTGTGAAATAAAAACGTTATAACTGCTCAGTTGATCTTTCTATTGAATTTTATCAACTGTTTTCAAATTTAAAATTTTAGTATACATTTTAATAATTGCAACTATAGTTCCATGTTTTACAACGGATAAAAAAAAGTGTCGATCAAACAAGAATGAAGTTTAATTGATTAAAAACATTTCTCCGATATATTTCATTTCACAATTATTACAATATATACAATAGATTAATTTCTTATCCTTTCGCGATGGATCGACGCCTTTTTGAATTGGTAAGAATACATTTTTAAGAGTAGAATATTTCTTATAAGCTATAGTCAGTGTAACATTTGGTAGTAGTTTGTTACAGAGCTTCCTTATTTTCTGGCCGAACTCGATAGATTCTGATCCGTAATAAGCGAAACCGAAGAAAAGTTCTTTCCTTTTTGTTATTTGAGGTTGTCGAGCTTGAGAGGTATTTATATTTTTTTGAAAATTTCTTTAGCTTCACGAAGTCCTCGTCGTATGATGTGATAAGGATAACCATTCATTCTTAGTGTTTGTATTAGATGTTTTCTTTCAATTTTTAGTAGAGATTCAGATGAACAGAGACGAAGTGAACGTACATAGAGTGATTTAATCAGACCTAATTTATATTTCGAGCTTGGTTGCTGTCATATAGCAGAAAAAGATTTATTGTAGTAGGTTTTCGATAGACAAATGTTTCATATTTCTTATCATTTCGTATAATAAGATCAAGAAATGGAAGACGGTTATTTTTCTCTTCTTCCACTGTGAATTTGATATTATCGTGCCACTTATTTATCCTCAGAGTTCCATTCACCGTCCTGATGATTAATGATAACGTTAGATGCTTGGGAGCATTACTCAGTTGTGGGAAACTGGGTGAGGACCATGAGCTTGAAACTATTTTGGTGTGTCGTTAACATAAATCGATTCATAAGAATCGTTTCTGACATGTCGCTTTCACAAGTAGTTTCGTATAAAAGCTCTCACTTGATATCTGGGCGCTGAAAGGTTTGAGAAAAGACCTCGAACGTCAGTCGCTAGCGCTCAAGGTATCGTAGAAAACCTACCGAACCTTTTCCTTCTTGAACACACACATTGAGTTTGGAAGAGAGAATACGAAACCCTTTCGCATTCTATGGAACTTTGAGGAGTTGCGTACGAAAGCTACTTTTTTTAGCTTTTATCGTATCACGCAGAAATCACAAGGTTGGTAAATATAAAACTTTTCGTTCCAAGCGGAACCTTCGAAAATCTCTTTTCAAGCCCCACGCAACCATTTCCTAATGGATTCTTGTAAGGAGGATACCAAACCTTTTTTCATGGTTTGGAGGTATGCAATCGTTTCGTGCAAGAAATGTGAAACTCTGTGTTATTCTCTGAATCTTTCGATGGTTTGGAAAAAAAAATGCTAGATCCATGTAGTTTCCCCGAACGAAAAAAGGTTTTGCAGGCAAAACGCGAAACTATTCACTAGTTTCTGAGTTTGGGAGAGGTTTAGTATGAAAACTGCTAAACTCGTGGAGTTTTCGGAACTAAGAAAAACTTTTGTGATGTTCATACGAAACTCTTTGTTATCTTCTGAATTTGTAAATGGCTTGGTTTAGAAGACACCAAACCCATCGATTCTGGTTGAACCAAAAGAGGTTTGGTAATTTATGTACACAACCTTATGCTAGTAGTAAAAACTTGCACATCTTATCTCTATCCGTAACCAGCGTTTTCGTAAACTTAAACGTCGTTACACTTCTCCTAACCTTGCTGAGTTCCGTAAAGCAAGAAATCTTGTTCTTTCTCTCTATCGTCGTGAAAAATCTTCTTACTTTCGATCTCTCTCTTCTTTATTTCTAATCCTCGCAAGTTTTGAAGCTCTATCAAGAAACTATCCTCTTCTCACTCCACTTTACCTCAGTCTTTGTTTCTAGGCTCCAAATCTGTTTCTACAGATGCGG